CTGCCACCAGAGTCTTGGGATGCTCTGCCACGGCTAGTCCCGGAGTCCTGGGTTTTTCTGCCTAGTATTGCAACTGAGGCAACGGTTTCTCTTTCTCTCACTGAGGCGTCGGTTTTCTTGTTGGCGGTGGTCATTCTGCCTGAGTTGTCTGCATTCTCATCCTCTTCCATCTCATCAATATCTTCCAACTGCAAATCATGCTTCTGCAGCGCTGCAGCACCTGGCGCAGGTACAACGGGATCTGTCTCCATCTCCTGCAGGGACAAACTCGGTTCACTGACACTAAGTTACCTGCAACTTAGTTAGCCCAGGTTCCGCCCAGAGGGCCCCACCTTTCAAAACAGGGTGCGCCAGTCCCAGGTGCACTCCTCTGTGATCTCCTCTCTCCCAAAGACTTCCCAGAAGGAGCTCAGGACCGCTGGCTGGCTCACAAACAGAAGCAACACGACCACCTCATCAAGCCACTCGACCACGAGTTCGATCTAAACATCGACCAAGCAATTTTCGCTATGGTGTTGCCTGACTCTTCCAAAACAAGCATGGTGTTGCCTGACTCTTCCAAAACAAGCAATTTGCGTGAAGATTCTCAATCATGAATCGAGCTTCAGAAACCCTGAACAGTTGACCCTCACCGACCCCACCTGGCAGATGGTGTGGAAGACCGACATTCCTTTCCACCCGCTGGCATCGTAAATGATGCCACCGATCGTCACGGAAGAAGCCACGGCGAAGGTGAACACGGCGAGCACCGTGGAAGAGGCCTGCCGCGCCACATCTTCCGAGAGACCAAAGATGTCGAATGCAACGCCTGCAGAAGGCAGTTTGGGGTGACCAGCAATACAGCAATCATCGGTTCGGAACCGAAGATGACAAGAATCCTTTTTGGTTAAAGTATGGGGTCAAAAGTATCAAATGTTTAAAAAGCGGGTCAGAAGTGGGAAGAACACCCACCTCGCCTTCAATGATCATCGAAGGGTCCAGTGCTTGAGTGCTGGCCACTTCCAGGATCACCGCTCACTCCTCACAGGCAATTGCTGACAAAACCAAAGACGGCATTTTGAGTGAACCATTTTACCCCTGGGTAGTGAATTCCAAGTCGGTCTTTGTAGTGCCCTCAGAATCGGTGAACCCGACCTCTTGATTTTTGGCTCCCCAAAAAAGAAACCCTGGGACCCTCTGGGACCCTCTGGGACCCTCTGGGACCCTCTGGGAATGTTGGAGGATTGGGCCGGGATTTCTTGGGTGATGGGAACGGGTGGGAGTGGGATGGGCCAGGCAAATGCCTTCTCGAGTCCAGTCATGAACCATTTTACCCCTATGGTAGTGGTGGATTATGACTGACTACCAGGTAGAGTAAAATGAGTAAAAACGGAAATTCTGGGGATGCCACATCGTCTTCAGTTCTCCTTCGGTTTTTGAGTCCGACTAGAAGATTGCCATTCGTTTCATGGGACAACCACCTTGCAAAGAGCAAAGAGCAACTGGAACCTCTGTTTCACTCGTGGATCTTGCCACGCAATACCCTCCAACATCTGGCTCCCGGCCTCAGTGCTATAGATGACGCCAATGATCGCAGCCGCCAAATGCAGCAGGCCCAGTGGCACCACCACCCAAAAGCCTCGACAAGGTTGGCCCACGGGTCAGATGCCGATGACTGGTGCCGGCGGATCCTTGAATCAATTATCTACAACCTGAGATCTGTTGGTGGTGTTTCTGCTGTTTTGGGCCCCACAAGCAGAGATGGCAGAGCTTCGAGAGCCTTGAAGCCTCGCATCTGCACCCCTGATCCTCTGTTGCCCGAGAAGGCACTGCTACAAAAATGCGAGAGAAGAAAAGAAACATCGAGTCTGATAGAATCCACCGCCAACAAAGGTTCCTCAGCGTGCAAACAAGCGCACTCAATTCGTTCGATTCAGCTTCAGCCCCACCCTAACAAATCAGACTAGTAAAGGCCCTCAACAAATCAACTGACACCCAAATCCTACATCTGGCCTCCCCGCATCATGACTTGCTGAAAGATCAAACGTGAGGTAAAACCAATACAGCATGCCCATCCGGCCCTTGAAATAGGCCAGCCCATGTCCACATAGTGAAGAGAGATGCCGGCCCATGCATAGCCATTGTTGAAGCCATTAAAGAGGGGTAGGAGAATGCAAACAGCCAAGTAGTTCCATGACCATCCAAGATCCTCTTCCTCGTCAAAATCATCCAAGTCCAGGTCCTCTGAGGTGACACGATCCCCAATCTCCACATCTTTTGACATCGAGGCGAAGGCAACACGCTACTCTACATAGATGTGTCTGGACAATCGTCCTTGAGCATACACAGCTCTGTAAGCTCTGTGTGAATCCGACCCCAAATCTGCTAGGGCAGGTCAAACGCAAGGCGCGAATCATGTGACCTTCTGTCCCCACACATGATTCGAACGGACAGGCCATATGTCTACAAACCGTCGACCCGACCCGACTAGAGGTCGATCCACCAAGGAAGAGACCCGACCCGACCACGTTCACGACCCTGGCAGTGAGGGTACTGGTATATACACCCCTGGGGGCTCCTGGCCCACCTCCGTTTCGAAGGTGGTTGGGGTGGGCGCCAGGGGGGTCTAACCACCGAACCTGAGGATATGGTTGGAGCCCTAGGGACATGACATCATGCAAAGTCTTGGGCACTTTGAGTCTCTGATCCACGCATTCCCCATTTCGTTGGCTGGGCCGATCATGTGGCTTTTGTTCACCAAGAAAGAAATCCCGTTTCTTCGATCATGGAAAAAGTCTTGCTTTGAAAGCTGGCGGTCTTTTGGTAGGACCACTATCAACACACGTGCAAAGTTCAGCTCCAATCTCCAGCCGTGGGCCAGCAAAACGCCCCCCCACAGTCGCCGTGATCGACGCCAATGCTCCATGTGGTGCGATCGCGAAAAGGTGTTCAAAAACTTAAATGTTTTGAAACCCGCCAGGAGTCACAAAGGGGTGGTGTTTGGTCCCTAAGTGAGTGGATAATGGGCACCCCTAACCTCCAAGTTTGGCACCCCTTTGTGACTGCTGGCCGTTCTCTTTTTGAGGGCGACGCTTCCCACGCATTGTGGAGTCACCATGGAATCCAACTGCTGACCGTGAGCCCTCCGACCACAACTTCTCACTCAGGTGAACATTTAAAGGCAACACAATATGTTTTAGAGCAGTTCCACCGCAAAAGTTCCGGCATCGAAGACAAAAACGGACTGCCTTGGAGGCATGTAATAGTTTCCATCATCTGTGGACATGTGGAAAAAACTAACAGGTAGAAAACCAGACACGTACTTATAGGTCCAACATTCTTCGGACTGGTCGAAAACGGCTGTGGTTCGGGAGTTCCCTGACTCCTGTCCACCGGTTTCGTGGGGCTTCAGACACAGGCAGTGGGCAGTGGGCAGCCGTCCCAAAGAAGGTACATGGTGAACCACTGGAATCCACCTCCAAACCGTTTTCAAGTTGAAACCACGGCAGCTACCGATCAAAGAAGAACAGTTATGCTGCCGAATGGCGGACGTGTGCCCCCCCGTGTGATGCTGAAAAAAGGACCTGAGGTACGGGAAAAGTGACCTGTGTCTCATGGACGTGATACCACTGTACTCTGCTGGAGCATTTGTCACGCTGCCTTCATGTTCCAACTGTCAAAGCGCCAAAGAAATCTGCAAAGATTACAGGATCACCCTCAGCTGACAATTGATTGCGAGCAAGTCTTTCTGATGAGACCGGTCCCGGTCTCAAACCATTCCAGTCATGTCCACTGCGGCCGACCCGAACTCGGCCAACCCGAACACCGTCCTCTACGGGGGTCGAAAACCCCACAGTGGAAGCGACGGTCCGCGGTCCACGGTTTCAAAGCCCCAGCACAAAGCTCAAGTTGTTTGGCACTGGTCAACGACTCAACCCATCCCAACGGGTCCGGCATAGCTTGAACTCTGGTCCAGCCAAAAACCCACGTTTTAGCACCACTCTGGACGCAGTTTCTCGCTACATGTCCTCAGCCTGCCTCAAACAAAAGAAGTCCAACCAGCCTGTTCCTTCATCCTCGAACATGGTCCATCAGTTCAACCAACATGTCGGACGTGATGCGGGTCAAGATAGAGGACCAAAATGAGTCTAACCTCAAGAGTTCCTGATCCTCTCAGCGACACGGAGTATCAAGCTCCTGTTCCTAGAAGAGGCGCAGACCTGAGGCGCCTCACACAAGCGAGCCTCAGGTCTGCCACGTGTTTCCCCGAAGGAACTGTTGGGCAGGTAACCCCGGTCTCTGGTTCAGATCCCCTTGCCAACCAAGCACACAATTGTACCCGCGTCAACTCCAGCTGTTAGTTGGTGGTGGGCGGCCGCAGGCCTCTCTGCCTTGGAAAGCACCGCAAACAGCAGGACTGCAGGACAACCGAAAAACCAGGACATGAGGAGGACAACCGAAAACAAAAGGATGAGCCAAGGAAAACAACATGAACACATCAAAAGGACAAAAAAAGGCCAACGCCAAAAGGACAAAGGGCCAACGTGAGGACAGCACACAAAGAGGAGAACGGAGAACAAGAGGAGAACAGGAAGAGAGGGCAACAGAAAATACACGAGAAGGGGAGGAGCACGACCGTAGATGGACCCGACAAGACATTTCTACAAGTGATTAGAGGAGAAGAGGAGGACATCCGGACAGGGCTCGCTGGTGCTTGGCGCTGTGGCCAGTTTCTCTTTTCCGACGAGAGAACAGCGTTGCCACGTTCACATGCTGACGGTCTTCGTGCTTGCCGGCTCACACTCCCCACGCTTTGATGGCGCTTGGGAACGTGCTTGGCGCAGTCATCTTAACTCCAGCAAGTGGACAAGAGGAGAACAGGACAAGTGCACCAGAGACCCCGAACAGGTCAGTCGGTAAGGCCTGTTGTTCCCTGCCTCGCAAAGCATTGCAAAGAGCACGACAGCAGGAGGACAAGAGGACAACTAGAGGACAAAGAGATGAAGGACAAGAAGAGGATAAGAGGACACAAGGTTGTCCAGCGCGGCCAGAAGGCAACAACAGGACAAAACAAGAGAAGGACAGAGGAGGACATAGGGTTGGCCAGCACGGCTAGAGGACAACAGCAGGACAAAGGAGGAGGACACGGGTTGGCCAGCGTGGCGAGAGGACAACAGCAGGACAGGAACACAGGAGAAGGACAAGAGGAGGACACAGGGTTGGGCCAGCGCGGGCAGGGGACAACAGGACAAGATCCGGACACAGAGTTCAGGACACGGCCAGCCAGTGTGGCCAACCCTTTTTCCTAAGAGAGAACCCCCACCAACAAACTGTTTGGGGAACAACAGGAGAAAAGCAAAAAGGAGGAATTGCACCCGCATAGGCCCCAAACAGGAGCGCCACAGCAGGAGGACATGAGGACAACAGAGGACAAAAAGATGAAGGAAGAGGCGGATAAGAGGAGGACAGGGTTGTCCAACGCTTCAAGAGGAGGAGGAAGACACAAGGTTGGCCAGAGGACAACAGCAGGACAAGAGGAAGACGAGAGGATGACAGGGGAGAGGACTGGAAGACAAGACCCAGACACAGAGCCCGGGCGCACACAAAGTTCAGGGGCGCGGCCAGTGTGGCCAGCCCTTTCCTAAGAGAGAACCGCAACAATAAACTGCGTGGAAGAAAAACAACGGAAAAAAGAGGACAATACGAGAGGAGGCCTGGAGGCAGCCGCAGCCAAGCTGGTGTTAACAAAAGGACAACAGGAACACAAAAGATGTTAAAATACTTCCCCACATCACTGTGTGGGGTTCTTGTTCCCCACATCACTGCGTGGGGTTCTTGTTTTTCGCTCTGCGCCCGCCACTCCGTACCCATGACAGCACTCCACCCTCCTCCTCCTCCGCCCTCCTCCTCCATCTTTTACCACTCATCTTACACCACTCATCTTACACCACTCATCTTACACCACGCATCTTACGCCACTCATCTTACACCACTCATCTTACAACACTCATCTCACACCACTCATCTCATGCCACTCATCTCACACCACTGATCTTACACCATTCATCTTACTCGTCTCATCTTACACCACTCATCTTATACACCACTCATCCTACACCACTCATCTTACAACACTCATCTTACAACACTCATCTTACACCACTCATCTTACACCACTCGTCTGACACAACTCATCTTACACCACTCACCTTACACCGCTCATCTTACATCACTCATCTTAGACCACTCATCTTACACAACTCGTTTTACACCACTCATCTTACACCACTCATCTTACACCACTCATCTTATTCCACTTATCTTACTCCACTCATCTTACTCCACTCATCTTACACCACTCATCTTACACCACTCATCTCGCACCAAACATCTTACTCTCCACACATGGTGATCGTCCACAGACAATACTCAGCGGAATCAAAACTCCGCGCATAGCCAGTGTCTATTGGCCACATTTGGTACGTCCAAAGCTTCCAGTCCCACTCAAAACCAGTGCGCGTGGGCCGCTAGGCACGCTTGACTCCAACACTGCTCCAGCTTCAAACCAGAACAAGTTGTCAACAAAGGCTTCTTCAAAGCTTTCTTTCCCACATCCAGCTAGGAAAATGCACCCACGAAGATGCAAAGGTCACGACGTCCACCGACCCAGACTTTCACACCCCCTTTTTGGCGTGAACTTGCAGCGTTCCAATGAACTTCACTTCAAAGGTTCAAACATGGGGGTTCACCTTCATGAATTCCTTGAAAATGCTGTGTTCCAGACTGCAACCTCGTTGCGCCATGAAGAACCAGCTACAGACTGCAACTCAAAGCTGCGATGCCACAAAAGTCGAACTCTTTGGAAAACCCATCGAAGACTGCCATTCGTTGCGCTATGAAAAAAACCGCGCGCTACAGACTGCCACTTCGTAGTGAAATTCAGCTGGCTGCAACAAATCGCGTGTCTTTGAGGCCAATGCACCATTCTCACACGTCGCGTTCACGACTTGTACTTTCGCTGCAACTTGCAGCGCCCATGATCTCATCGGCCTTGTCTCTCCAAGTCACTGTGCCTCTTGCTTCAATGCAGGCACAGCGAACCAAGCACTCTCCCAACCGATCATTGTAGCAGGGCTGTAGTGGCAATTCACAGAATGGAACCCTGCATGCGAAGTCTGACATCGACACACACCAAACTCTTTATTCAATTTCATCCGTTGTGGTGATCCCCAACACCTTTCCAATCGGCTCCCTTTCTTTGCACGAGCTCCAGCGGCACACTTT